CTTAGGGACATGGTTTAGTGGGCATGGTGGTGTTGGGTTGACGGTTGGACTCGATGATCTTAGAGATCTCTTCCAACCTTAATGATTCTATGACCATACCCCAAGTGAGGCAGGCAGTGCCAGTGAGGGTAGTCGGGTTCAGCCCAGGGGCCAGACCACCAAGCAAATCTGTAGTGACAGGATAGGGCCGAAGTCAAGTTGGAAATCAAGTCAGGATCACAATCGGGTCTGGACATAGTGACCAGGATCAGTGATTGCCAGGCAAGTCCATAGTGGTGAGGCAGGCTGCAGTCAAGCTGGGAAGTTGGCCAGGACCTGGATCAATGGGGTACATGGCTGTGGCACCACTCAGGCAAGGACCAGGGTGAGAGCCTCAGCTTAAAGCAGCCTTGGTTGCCCTTACTGAGGCTTCCCAACAGAGCTGTTTGAAGATAAGCCTCTGCTGAAGTTCCTTCAAGTTTTCGTCATACCTTCTGTCAACCGGCTGGCCTTGAACAGCCAGCTAAGCTGCTAGTGGTTGGAGTGTGCTCCGGGTCCTGACACTGGAGTTTTTTATTCCTATACATGATTGCTTTCCCACTGAATCTTGCTAAATCTTTGCCCTCTAAAATGATCTGTGGTGTTGAGTTCCTTATTTTAATCACAGTCTGGGCAGGAATCTCATCCTTTGAGATTTGGCATTAGCTGTTCCAGGATATCTGTCCCGTGCCTATCATATTTTTTCAGTTAAATGTTCACGAGTATTTTGAATTATGATAATGTGAATTTTCTGTTTCCTTCTTCTAGCCCTAGACAGTCAATGGCATCTTTTTATAACACAGGGTTTTCTCATGCTGACCTGAGTCTAATTCATCTACCCTATCCTTTTTCTGACTGTTGCTTATTAGTGTCTGACTGTTGTAGTCTTGCTCAGGAGCAAGTAAATTTCAGATATATTTTCACATTGGGTTAAAAAGGTAATGGAAAATGGGATGTGTTTTATTTAATTAGTAACATTATTTTTTTATTATTATAATAGGCTGGGACTGGTAATCATGTCAGTCTCCGGTTGAAGAAAAGATTCAGTGTAACTACAGTTCACGCTTTTTGCTATAAAAAATAGTAGATTCCCAGGTTTTCCGGGAAAGGAGAACAATTGCTTCAATGGTTAAACAAAAGACAAAATACTTCTTAGATTTATTCCAGAGGTAAGTT